TCAACATGGAGGTGTATGTGTCTCTTTGGTATCCTGATTTTCTTTCTTTTCTATATATAACCAGATGTAGAATAGCTGGATCATTTGGTAGCTCTATTTTTAGTTACTTTAAGGAAACTTTATATTGTTCTCTGTAGTGACTCTACTAATTTATATTCTCAACAACAGGGTATGAGGGTTCCCCTTCCTCTACATACTTATCAACATCCATTATTATGTTTCTTAGATAAAATCCATTTTAACTGGAGTAAGATTATATCTCATTATGGCTTTGATTTACATTTCTCTGTTGATTAGGGATGTTAAACATTTTTATCATATATCTGTTGGACATTTGTGTGTCGTCTTTTGAGGAACAGCTCTGGATATGCCAAACCAGAAGTAGTAAAATGTCTTTTACCCAGTGTTAAAACCTTTCCCTAGAAATTGCATTTACCTAGAAAATACACTGTTATACATCAATTGTTTACATCAATATGCTGTACAAAATTTATAGACTCTTAGACTTTGAATAATGTTGGGAAAACAAACATTTTCCATATTAATAACTGTCATCATAATTTTGTTATGGAGTTGGTTTTCTAAGGGGAAGATAGAGGTTTTTGCATGGGGAGCAGGAGGTAAAGATACTCCCTGTCCACCCCTTGTGGCATCATCATCGTTAGATCATTCTCTTAATAAATAAAGAGAAGTATTTCAATCCTTCAGAGTAGACACTTTTTTGGCATTGAGTTCTACACAAAATTTATAGATGGACGTTAACTAAAGGTAGTTTGAGGGACATAATAGAAAATGTCTTCAGCAGGGATTTTGCAAAAGATATTATGTATTTTCCATGTGGTTGCTTTTGTGTTTCAGTGAGCCTCAAAAAGTGATAAAGATGAGATAACAAATTGCAGTTCAGCTAAAGAATATCCGTGCATTGCTTTTAAGTCTGGAAGAAAATTCAGAAAGCCCAGATAAATGATTCCTATTAAGTCCCATAATCTGTAAGAATAAATGGGGTCAACTTGTTTTTTAATTGTAAGAGGAAAAAAACAGATTTTGTGAGTAGAGTGCTGCTAGCTATGCTGTATAATGGATAAGATATTTTCTAACCCATCTTTTTTTCTCTCATTTCATCAACAGCTCAATCTGAGGAAAGTTCCACACTTTTCCTCTTTCAGGCACAGTTACAGATTCAGAGAAAATCAGCCAAGATCACAACATGAATAATACCTATGTTGGAGTTTGAACTCAAACCCACATGGTTTATTAAAATCCAGATACCTTTTACACAGAGTGGTTGATTTCATGATGACAAGTTTTTCATTTTTTCACCTCATTTCAGCTGACATCTGCCTTTAAATGTAATACAGGTTATATTTATCTTACTTCCTCATTATACATTGTAATCCCTTTTGAGAATAGATTGTATGTTATTCTCCTGTTTCCTTCTTTAACAATTTCTACCCCAGTAATGTGCACACAATAATAAAACCCCTCTCCACTTGAAGGATTTGCCCTCTTTGCCAACTTTAGAAAATCAAGATAGACTTGTTAACATTTAACATTTACTTTTTGAAAACAATTTTACACAGAGAAATTGTACAGGAGCAATTATAAATCAATATGTCAACCAGTTTAAATTTAAAGTAGTGATAATTAGTTACTTTAGTGCTAAAGGAAGGACTTCATGAAATAAATACTGTACATGCCAGGTTTTGTAAATGGATTGCTGGGGAATGTGGGAATTCAATGTGTTTATTTCAGATTCAGTTCTGAAATTATAGAATAACTGATTTATATTTTTTAAAAAATTAGGGACCATCTACAAAGCTCACTTTGACAATGAGGAGAGATGTGCCACTATTAAGGTTGGTCACAACAGTTACTGCTTATTGAATACCTTCTGTGTTTCAGAGGCTATGATGTGACCTTTGAAAATCAATTTTCACTTATCCCTCAAGAGGACACAAGTAGTTGATACTTTGTCCTCATTTACAGAAAAAATTAGGGTTAAAGTCTACATTTTTCTGGAAAGCGTTTAATAATAAATGGCAATACACAATTTAGAACTAGGTCTGTGTGACTTCAAGCTTTTTTCTTAGAAGGCAATATACACTGTCAGTGAGAATTCTGGTTCTGTAGCAGACTGCCTGGATGTGAATTTCAGCACCATTTGTACAAGAGGTGTGACCTTGTCCAAATTACTCCAGCTCTTCAAGTTTTAGCTTTCTTGTTTTGGGAAGATAAACATGATTTAATATATGTTATATGCTGCCTAGCACAAATTAAAGGATCAATAAATACTACCTGTTGTAACAATAATGTCAACAATAAAATTAATGATTGTGATGAATTTATAAGCTATATATTTGTATTTATTTTCCTAGCATTTTGCACAAATGGTGGACTACTTTTTATTTCCTTTGCATAGGACAAGGCTAAGCACATAGCGTATGCTCAATAGATGTTTGCCAAATGGGTGATGAGAAGGTTTAAGAAAGGTACAGAACTTATTTGTATTTCATGCTCACCTCTCTAGACAGTCATGCATGCAATCTGGAAATCTGCCTATAAACTAATTTTGGGTAGAAGTTCCATAAATGCTATTGTCTTTGTTTGGAAGGAAATAGTTCCAGATAGTGTAAAATTTGAAAAATCTCAGATCTTGAATATAGTGCCTCACCTTGGCTTGGAGCACATAATTTTCTTAAATTTGTATAAGAAATAAATGGAAAAGTAGTTTATTTGGTTTCATGGATAAACTTTTCCTTCAGAAGTTCAGTTGGAAATAAGAGAAGGGTACTGAGGAGGTGAGAGACAGAGAAAAGTGAAATCATTTATAGAATTTTTTCAGAAAGTTCATTTGGCACATCTATTCAGGAGAATTTTTGTCTTTTTTTTTATTAATTCCTGGGCATTGGTAATAACTTTTCTTAATCCTATGTAACTTCATTTTAAAAACACCAGCTTCATAAGTGCTTTCAGTAGATCTTGAATTTTGTTTTGAGAATAAAAGCAATGAAGAAGTTCAAGGTAAAGTCCGAGTATTTTTGCCAAGCATATTTACATGTTTAAGATTAAACATTCTCCTTTTAATACTGAAGTGATTTTAAAAGGACCCTGCAGACTGACCCTTGACTAATTGCAGTGCTAACAGGGAACTCTAATGAAGTAGATAACAAATGGCAGTTTGCTGGGAATAAGGACAGTTTTTTAAACATGTGGATCGCTCTTAGTATCATTCCTTGTTTCCCTGAAGAGTTCTCCAGATGTCTAAATGCTGTATAAATTTGCTTAATGACAATTTTAGTAGACAAACCTATGTTTTTCTTATTTCCTTCTTTTCTTCCTCTATTAATCTCTCCCTCCTTTCTCATCTTACCCTTCCCCACCCTCATTCATAAACATGAATGAGCCCTTACTTTTCCCAAGACACTACAGGTTTTGAGTAAACGAAGATGAGGATCACATAGTGCTGTTCTGATTGGTTTTATTCCCTGGAAAAGAAGATAGGTGAGCAATTCGGAGAAGGGAAATACCCTTCTCTCCCTAAAAGAACAAAAAAGGCAATTCTAGAGGAAAACAGCATTCTAAGGAGAGACAGAAGACAAGAAAAATCGGCTTACCTGTTGACAGAAATGCAAGACATTGCCATAAGAAATTGGAAAAACCTGAAAAGTCGAGCAAAATTATTATTGCTTTACATTGTCTTTTATAGTTTTACTTTGTTTCTGTGATCATGTAGAGACAGACTCAAGTGGAACATAATACAATTGCAGTATGTTCTCTTTTTAACCTCTGTTCTCATAGTATTTAACCTCTTCATGCCTTTTGACATAGTGATCACTACCTGCTTTAAACACTTTTAAAATTTATTTACAGGGTAACACACTCTCCTGTTTCCATGCTACCTTACTGTGTTGGTCAAGATTCTCCAGAGAAACAAAACTAATAAAGGTTTATTCTAGGAATTGTTTCTGACAATTATGGAAGTTGAGAAGTCCTCTGATCTGCCATCTATAAGCTGGAGAACCAGAAAAACTCAGTGGTGTAATTCAGTCCATTAGAAAGCTTGAGATCCTGGGGTGAGGTGTGATATAAGTCCTGGTCCAATTTCAGAGTCCAAATGTCTGAGAATCACAGGCATTGAGGTGTGAGGGCAGGAGAAGATGGGTGTCCTACTCAAATAGAGATAGGAAATTCACTGTTCCTTCATTTTGTTGTAATACGGTCCTCCACAGATACAATGATGATCACTCACATTGGAAAAGGCTGATCTTCTTAACTCAGTCTACTAATACAAATGCTAATCTCTTCCAAAGACACCTTCACAAAAGCAGCCAGAATGTTTCGCCAGCTATGTGGGCACCCCTTGGTCCAGTCAAGTTGACTCAAAAAATCAATCATCACTGTTACTCTTTTCCAATCTCTTTTGCTGGATCCTCCTTATGAATTTTACATCTTAAATTTTTAAAAGCCCTAAAGATCATTTTTCAGGCCTATTTTTTCTATCTACCTTCCATGGCTTCTACACTTTCTTGGTGCTCCTATCCAGACTCAAGTTTAAAGATACTCTAGTTTGGTATATCCAGTACAGACTTCTTTTCTGAAATCTCTCATGCCTACTTCATTTTTCCACTAAGCTTAATACTTTATAGCACACAATACAACAATTATTTTATTTCAATCTTAATCTTATTAAATGTAAGTTTGTAGAAGTAATTATTTATGTCAATTATTCACTGCTTATCCTAAGGCTTGGAATATTGCTTGTTCAGAGCAGACAATAAATGTTTGGTTTTGTTTTCAGCAGCATGGGAAGAGTCAGGACTCTGTAAAACATACAAAGACAATTTCATCGTAGTCTCAGAAGTCCAAGAGTTATTCAAACACATTTCAAGGGCAATCAGTGTAATTCATAGTCACAACTGCCACTAAGTCCATGATAAACTTGAAAGTCAAGAACTGCCTTTCTTAGATTTTTTTAAATGACTGTATTGTCTAATTCAAAGTTGCTTTTGGGGAGGGCTCCCTGTGCTTTTACGAGCATCTGCTAGAATTGAGAAACTGGTCCTCCATTTCCTTTTTGCACGTTCATTTATTTCACATTTAGGAGTCACCATATGCTTAATCCACGATAACATTCTAGAATGTGAACTAAGACAGCAGATGTGTAGGCACCTCGGAGTGGCAAAGCTTTACTTTTTTATCCTTTATGTTGCTCGGCTACTGTCATTGTGTATGAGATATAAGATGGCAATTTATACACAGACTTAGGATCGTATGTGTGGACATGAGTAATGCCCTCTCTAATTGTTCCAGAATTCATTCACTTGCTTTTGCTTTAAGGAGTGCTGTTAACTAGAAGGGAGTACATTGTGTGCACAGAGAGTAGAGAAGCCCTGCCTCTAGCAGTTCAGAGTTTAGCAGGTGGGATTCCAGACCGATTCTCAACCAGCAGCTGAACAAAGCAGAGTAGCTCCAAAGGTCCAGATACGTGAGCTGTGCTTGTGTTCCTCCTTATTTTTCTTTCTTCTTTTTCTTCCTTTTTACATATATTACTATCATAAGCCATTCACCTAAAGTCTAGAAAGAATTAGCAACTAGTTCTTATACTCAATAATAATAATAAAATAAGACTTGTAAAGTAGCTCAAATTATCATTCCCAGAATGCCTAGGTTTAATCTGTCACCTGAGTACCCACCCCTCCCCATCACTGCCAAATGCAAAGGCAGAACAAACAAGAAAATAAATGGAAAACTTAAATGAATAAAGAGCTACATCACTCTTGTATGGTTTCACTTTCTTGCTTTTAACAGCCAGTCTATAACCCCTTCATAGCATTTTCTATACCCTTTACTTAGAAGGGAATTATTTTTAATGTTGCGTATTAAAGATGGTTGTAAATGTACTCCACTGTTGATAAGTTTTAAAACCACATTTCATACTGACTACCACAGAGTTATCTATTTGTAAATGATGGTTAAAAAAGCAAATCCTTAAATAATCCTCTTTGGAAAACTGGAAATTAATTGCCACACTATTACTAGTTAAGTGGAAATGAAGTAAATAAGAATAGAGAAATAATTGCTGCCTTTGGGTGATTTCCTGCCAGCAACCCACCCTGAGACTAAAAATTTCCTCTCAAATTTGTCTTTTAAAGTTATATCATATTGTGAAGTGTGTCTTTTAAAATGGTTAATAACATAACTTAATATGCAAAATCTTTGATCATATTCTCTACTGTATATTTCAATGGATCCTTAGATTCTGTTTTACCAAGTATAATTACTCATCGAATTATAATTCCTGTTTTATTGCTACTGCATACTTTTTCAGATACTCAAAATTTTGAGACAAATGTTTCACTCTTAAAAAGAGAGTTTGAACGTCTTTGGTTTACTGTTGATATGTTTTTAGGCCTATGCCATTCAATCTTTGTTCAACATCTTGTGTTACTTTGAGGATCTGACTTCAATTCCCTTGTAATAAAGCCAAACACCAACTGGTAATAACAATTGGAGCTATCTCTGTCAATTATAGCTCTGAGGCAAGGGAACAAAAAGCTTTCAAGAATAAAATATCTTATATCTCTCCTCCTACTCAGGGACACGTTTCCTTAGCAGAGTTATACCATTTTTTGGTGGTGTTGTTTGAGACAAAGTCTTACTCTGTCACCCAGGCAGGAGTGTAGTGGTGTGAAATTGGCTCACAGCAATCTCTGCCTCCTGGGTTCAAGTGATTCTCATGTCTCAGCCTCCCAAATAACTGGGATTACAGGTGTTCACCACTATGCCCAGATAATTTTAGTATTTCTAGTACAGACGGGATTTCACCATGTTGGTCAGGATGATCTCAAACTCCTGACCTCAGGTAATGTGACTGCCTCGGCCTCGCAAAGTGCTGGGATTACAGGTGTGAGCCACCGTGCCTAGTCTATACCTCTTTTTGTTGTTAGTTCCTGCTAGAGGTTCTTTCCCTCTCCTCTAACCCTCAGGTTTTATCACGTTTACTTATTTCTTAAATCCTTCCTTCCTAGATTATAAAGTTCCTAGTTTAATGCCATGAACTATTATAAATACTGAATTTGGCTTTCTGGGCTTATAAAACAAGCATTGAAATTCTACCTGTTGCATTCAGTGGCCAGGCCTAGGGAAAAAAATAGAACATATAGAAGATTTTTCCTATATTAAGACATTGTCTATTGGATACCTTCCTCTCAGTAAATAAAATAAAATAAAATATTGACTCATTTAAAGTACATATTGATTTGAGATATATTCCGATTTCAAAAATGTAAAGAAAAAAATATATTTTCAATAATAAAAAAATGCAATAATTGTTGACAAACCTTGATTCATTATGCAGCTTGAGGATACTTGATTAGATATATTTTTTCTTGCTTTCTCTTTTTTCATTACCATGTGAATCATTCCTTATTTCACCATAACTGAAGCCCGGTCACTGAGTCTGGGGAGGTATCTAAGTAAAGCTTGGACAAAGCTCACTCTCCACAATGTTTCTATTTTAGAGAAAAATTGAAAATTTCAAGATTTGTTGCTCTCAATCAAATACAATTCTCAGACACTAAGAAATCATTTATGATGAAAAATAAAAGAAGAAAGTTAAAAAATAGACTTGAGAATTTGAGGTGAAGGCTATCTGCCATAGAATTTACAGACTGGAACATACCCTAAAAAGAAACACTTTTATGGCCTTTGAGATTTATGATCTACTGGTACATTGAAAATAATTGGCGGTGAGAATTCATAGGAAGCTACTTGTATAGCACCCATTGGGTGAGCTCATTTTATTCAAGCCATAAATTTCACTGAAAAAAAATGACTGCAGGTTGATGAAAAACTTTGTGCCCTCGAAGAAAAGCAAAATCAAATCAAACAAAATTTGCTCAGAAAACCAGATCATCCCAGAGAAAGGTAATGTTTCGGAATCACACAGACAAATGACCTCATGCAGATATCAATAAATGGACACTGAAGGTACATACTAATTTTTCAAAGTCAAACCTTCAAGCCCAGGAAATCAAAACAGAAGAAACACAAAGAAGTCCCAAGAAAGACAGGTTTATATGTAGTTTCCTCAAGTGGATTTTGAAGTTCTTTGAAAATAATGGCATAACTACCAGGAAAAAATACTTAACTATCTGTGCAAGTTACACTGGCAATAATTCACTTTAAAGTATTCTATTACTATATGATTGATTGTTACTTGACTTTATTTCATGATAGGTTCAGGTCAAAGCGCAGATGTATGTATAGATGCATGTGTAATGCTATATAAACTGTTCTGTAAGCCTTTCTTTGTTCTTCTGCATCACAACATAGCCAAATTTCCCACATTGTAAGGGGAAATAATGCCCAGGGATACTTTGTGAATTAAATATCAATCATTTTAAATCTGGATGATGAATGGCAATGTATATGTTTAGCACCATACATGTTTCTAGCCATTGCAAACAGCCCTTACAGGTGAGTGAAAAGAAAAACAAAAAACAAAAAACAAAAAACAAACAAACGAAAAACCAGTTTTACTTTATCTTGGTCAAAATCTAAACCTGATTTATGAAGATTCAGTCTGAAGGTTGCTGACCCTTAGGTATTTTGCTTTAATCATATTTATCATTTTTCAGTCGCTTGGCTTGGAAAAGGAATTCCAGGAACATCTTTATTTCTTCTTTTCTCTCTTCACTTCAGAAAACTTATAATTTGTGCTCTTTCAGAGAGAGGGGAGAGAGTCAGACTCCTTATCTAATGAACCTTATCCTGGTTACATGCAATAAATAGGATTAGGTGATGTGTTCATAGCAGCAGTGTATGCTAATATAAAATTTTGTATTATATATACTGTATTTTGTCTTCTCAAATTTAGTCACCATTTGGATAGAAATAAGCTATATGGAATATTTAAAAAGAAAACCTGACATTAGATTTTTGGATGTTTAGGTAGCTATTAAACATCTTCTAAGGTAAAGATCCAGCTCTATTCTGATTAGGAAACGTTTTAATAATTTTTCTTAAAGAGAGAAAGTGGTGGGGGAAACAAGGTTGCATGGGTTTTTAATGACTCTCCCTGCAAAGCAATCTCTAAGTGTACCAAATGGCATGTCCTTGGGAAAGGGAAAGGAAGCACTCCAAAAGAGATTGTGGTTAAAGAGCAATCGTAGTAAGCATCCCATCAAAGAAAAGATGAACTGATGAAACCTTTAGGCAGGAACACTGAATGAGAACATGAACTGTTCATGCAGATGTGCTTTCTTTTAGGAAGCCTCATGTGCCTCAGATGTGAATCCTCTTCCTTAGAAACAGCTTCTGGAGTGCAAGGATCATAAAGCACAGAACTGATATTTATAAATGGCATCTCTCTCCATTTTCTCCATTTTTCTGTGTAGACTAGCTAACAGATTGGCACTCTGCTGATCAATCAGATAAAGTGTTTACTTGAGTTAAAACCATAGAGCAATGAAACTGTTTTCTTAGTAGCAAATAATTCGGAAGAGAACTTTGCTTCAAAGTAATTGGCTTGCAATATTCCAACTTACTCTAGCGACCAAAATATCTTTCCAAATTTTCATATGTTATGGACACTGTTTGCTGTCATCCTCGATATTAAAATTATGCTAAAATTAAAGAGATGGAAACACAGTGTTTTACCTGGAGTTAATTGTCACATATTTAAGATGCTTAAATAATTACACATGTAAAAACATACGTTTAAATAAATGTTACATTTTAATGAAAAAGGGATCCGGGTTTTGAGTTAGAAGGTCAGGGTGTGGGAAACATTGTAGTCACAGTAAGACAAAAGACAGAGAGGCGTTATAGATAGGTTATCTTGAACTTTGTATTTACATGGTTGCTATTAGGTTAGAGAAGCACATTGTCACCACATTGTGAAATGATTTTTTATGTAATATTTTCTCACCTGTAAAATGAAAGTATCACTTTTCTGTCCATACTTTATTAGAATATTCTGAGACCGGCTGGGCGTGGTGGCTCACGCTGGTAATCCCAGCATTTTGGGA